TTTTTCGAACTAGTATGAAAATGCAGACAATTTGTTTGCAAAACTAAGAATTCGGTTTTCGATGGGATAGTAGATATAAAGAAGTGTTGTTTTCCATTTTTTTTTAATAGAATTTTATTGACATTTAAAAAAAATTAAACTAGTATGAAAATGCGGAAAATTTCTTTGCAAAGCTAAGAATCCGGTTTTTGATGGGATGGTAGATATAAAAAAGAAGGGCTGTTTTCAATTTTTTTTAATAGAATTTCTTACTGACATTTAAAAAATTCAAAAAAAGTTTTTTAACTAGTATGAAAATGCGGAAAATTTGTTTGCAAAACTGAGTATCCGGTTTTAGGTGGGATGGTAGATATAAAGAGCTTTTAAAAAAAAAAATAATAGGAACTTTTATTGACATTTAAAAAAATTTTTTTAAAAATTTTGCAAAACTAAGAATGGGATGGTAGATATAAAACGAATAGCTGTTTTCAATTTTTTTTTAATAGAAATTTTTATTGACATTTAAAAACAAATAAAATAAAAAATTTCGAACTAGTATGAAATTTAACCTGATTTTTCTTGTATAATTGTTCTGTACTTGTGTACTTTTATACTTATTTAAATTTTCCTATTTTGTTACTGGCTCGTATAGTTAAAATGTAAATACGATTGTTTTCTGTTATAGCTTTATGCTAGACAAACAAATAATAAATAAAATATTTATTAAATTATAAACAAAAAGAAAGTATTTTGGAACCAGCATGAAAATTCGCAAAATTTCCTGTCAAAACTAAGCATCCGGTTTCCCGTAAATATAAAAAAGAACTCTTTTAATTTTTTTTACCGGAATTTTTGACGATATTTTTTAAATTAAAAATAAAAAAAACTAACCAAAACTGAAAAAAAAACACATTTTGAAAGCCCGGAAAAACTATTCCGGCGAAAGCGCAACATGAAAAACGATGCTTCCCCACAGACTCCGGTGTGGTAGACGGTCGCCCCTCACCTTCCCCCGACCCGAAATCCGAATCGATATTTACGTCCACCAACGTCCCTCTATACGGAGGGTGGGAGGTGCGGAAAGATCGCCTAACACAAAAATCGATTTCGCAATGATACGCTCGGCTCAATGTTTTTTTTCTATCGCGTAAATATCCGACCTTGAACGAACGACGGAGAAGCCGATCAAAAACAAACAAACGACTAAAACAAAACATCGATAAAATGAAAACGTCACACGACCGAATATCATCCCCGTGGTAATTACCTCTCTCGGATCAAAGTCGGCGTAGGGAAACGTATTTACGCGGAACCGGAGGGGAGGACGTGCGCGCGCAACTAACCGCGTCAACGCGCGCGTCGCCTATACTCAGCGGCGGACCACGGCCGACTGAGGACAACGAGGATGCAACGCGCGTGAAAAACAAACGACGAGCGATCCTTGCTTGCGCTTCGAAGCGACGACGAAATACGAACGAACGCGTCGACGGAATTTGATCGAAGCTCCGACGGGCTAGAAGGCCGCGTAAGCAAGCCATCACACCCGGATCGACGGCGCGGTACAGAAATGTCAACAATTTTGTAGCCGATTACGATTCGTATATTTGATTGTCAATTTAAAGTTAATAAACGAAACCAGCGATCACAGCGTACGGCAATATATGGGCGGCCACCGAAATTTCATTAGCGAGATATAAGACATTTCATTCGATAAATGACAATGGCAAAGAAGATTCATATCGAAAGGGAAATTTTAATCACGAAATGACAATTTTGTAATTAAAATTAGATATCAATTTATTGCCAATGAAAAAAAAAAATAAAAACGAGTAGTCACAATGTATGGAAAAACAAAACCAGACACAACGAAGAAAAAAAGTCAATTGATAAATGACAATTTATGGCTGTGTAAGAGAAAATTAAAAACCAGTAATCTCCATATATCGCGGGCAGTGAAATTTCAGTCATTAAATGTCAATAATTTGTGACTACTAGTTGTCAATTTATTGTCAATATTAGAAAAAAAAGTGTGCCAATTTAAAATTATTTGATATCGATTTTTTGTCAATAAAAAAAATAGACAGAAGAAAGTCACAATGTGTGGCAAAATAAAGTAAGATACTGTAATTTAGATTAGATAACAATTTATTGAAAAAAAAAGCAAGTAGCTGTTTGTTGCAAATTTATAGTCAATAATGGAAAACTTATGGCAATTGGTTGTCAATTTATTGTCAATAATCAAAAACATAAAACCGTTGGATCGCAATGTAGGGTGAAATAAATCAAAGGCAGGGCAAAGAAGATTCATAAAGAAAGGGAAATTTTAATCACGAAGTGACAATTTTGTATGGCAGTGTATGACAAAAGAAAACCAGACACTTAGGATTCATAACCACGAAAAAAAATTCAATTGATAAATGACAATTTATTGTCAACAATCGAAAACCAAAAGGTGGCCAGGAACTGAAGATACATGCTAAATAGCAAGCGTAATAATGAAATGACAGTTTCCATTTATTAGGTGTGCGATTTTTTCTCATTAAAAAAAATTGAAAGAAGAAAGTCACACCGTGTGCCAAAATATAGTAAGACACTGATGAACTAGGGAAAAGAAATTTCAATCAAAATAGCAAAATTAGGAAATAGAACTCGAAATAAAAAAATCAATTTCAATTTATTGTCAATAATCGAAAACAAAAAACTAGTGGGTCGCCAGGAACCGAAGATTTAGGCGAGAAAGCATCTTGAATAACGATATGACAAATAATAATCATGAAGTACCATTTATTGTCAATAAAAAAAATAAAAACATGCAAAACCACAATGAATGGCAGAACAAAGAAAGAAATTTCGACCAACAAATGACAATTTATAGCAGCTACTTGTCAATGTGATGTCAATAAACGAAAATTGAAAACGAAATGAATTTAAGAAGAGAAAGATTGTTTTCAATTATATGCGACATTTGCACCTATTGTCAATAAATGATAATTTAAAAAAAAAACGGGTCACAATAGAAATATGAGGAGGCTGACGTTTCATAACCAAATATAATGTAATAATATAATATAATATAAATTAATATTATTATAATATAATAATAGTCAGGACGTCAATTTGTCAATAAACCAAAATTGACAATAAACGAATACGTAACATTCTAGAGTGGGTTAACAGCTGACAATTGTTTAACCAAAAATGACATGCCACGCCCTTTTATTTCTCTGGGTATTGCTGGAGTTTGACACCGACGATGACGTTAAAAAAAAATCAGTCAGCGACCCTAATAGCCGCGATTTCACGCAACGCCTGACGCACCGTGCGGGTCTTTTTTTTCTTTTTGCTTAATCGTCCGGATCGGACGACGTAAAGGCCGTCGCCCCTCGCAGTTAGTCCCTTAAACGCGCCGGTCGAACGACCTCGCGCGAAACGAGCCGCGTATACGCGATACGATTCCAGATAACCGCGTCGAGATTTAAAAAAATAAGAAAACGAAAACAAACGAACGCGTATCTATCGAGAGCAACGCTGTATGCAGGATGTTAGTCAATAAGCGTCCGAGAACTTACAGCAATATTTTATGTTTCCCATACTTGAGATACGGGAGATTTTTATTTTTGTGTTTTCTGCATAATTTTATAAATAATACCCATTTCGGAATGATTTTTTTATTGACAAAAACATTTACGGCAGTATAAAAAAAATACAAAAGCCAATATAAATAGTACACGGAGAAGATGATTTCAGAAGTAAAATGAAAAAACGCGCCAAACTATTTTACAACCCTTCGATTATTGACATTTTCGAACAGTTTTCGTTAAGATGAGGTCAAAAATCGAATTAGGATTTGAATGTAAGCGTATGTTTTCTCTTTTTTACGAAATTTGCAGCCAATTTATAAACATCGGTTTGAAAAATTAAAAAATATCAACGCAAGACATTGTTAATTGTCCCTTATTGACACTACCTAGACAAATATTTTTAATGTAAATAATTGTCAAATAAATTGTCCCTTATTAACCAGACTTGACTAATTTCGCTGTCTGGACCAACCTCACCCAATTTGCACACATCAATTTAATTTAAACGCAAAATATACTAGTAAAATATTTTTAATATCAATAATTATAAAATAAATTGTACATTATTAACAGTACTTGTTTAATTGCTTTTTGCTGGACCAATCTCACCCAATTTGTACACACTAATTTCCTTGAAACGGAAAAAATAGAAGCGAAATATTTTTAATGTCAATAATTGTCAAATAAATTATCCCCTTTTAACAAAAATTGTCTAATTTAGTTCTCTGGACCAATCTCACCGAATTTACACACATTAATTCCTTCAAACGAAAAATATAGGTGCAAAATATGGTTAATGTCAATAATTGTCAAATAAGTTGTGCCTTATTGTAAATACATGATCAATTTGGTTGTCTGTACCAATCTCATCAAATTTACACACACCAATTTCCTCGGTACGGAAAATATCCACGCACAATATTTGTAATCAGAAAATAATTGTCAAATAAATGATCCCGTATTGACAATACTTGACTAATTTCGTTCTCCGGACCAATCTCACCCAATTTGTACACATGAAACGGAAAAGATAGACGCAAATATTATTAATGTCAATAATTGTCAACAACAACAAATTGTGCCTTATTGGAAATACGTGATCTGCAAAATATCCACGCAACACTTTTTGAATTGTTAATAATTTTCAAATAAACGATCCTTTATTGACAATACTCGATCAGTTTATTTGTTAATTTCCTTAACGACGGGATTGTCAATTTATTGACAACAATCGCTCGTTCCTCGACAAATTTGCGTCGTCGGCCCGAATTCGGACAACATACGAGAGTGATTTTATTGGCAACATAAGAAAGTCACTGGGACTTGGATCGGGTAACCGTGCGGGCCGGGAGAGCAGAAACGAACGAATAGCAACTCGAAGTAGGCGCGAAATCTCATTAACCGCGAAAAAAAAAATACGCCTCGTGCGTAAAAGCTCACCTGAAACCGAGGTCGTTGCCGCCGAATATCTTGCGCACCTCGCGGCCCCCCGAGGACTCGCCCTCGGACGCGGTGTCGTCGCCTCCGTAGATCCTCCGGGAGGAGGTGGCGGGCTTCGCCTTCGCCTCCGACGTTTCGGAATCGGAGCCCGAAAAGTTGCACGAGATGCCCTCGTCGTCTTTCTCCGCCGCTGCCGCCTCCACGGCGAAGTCGACGAACGCTGACTCGCGTTTCTTCGACCCGGGGGCGGCGAACGACCGACTCCGTCTCGGCAACGACGACGTCGACTCCGGTTTGAGGATGCCGCGCCTCTCGCCGAAATCTTGCCGCTTACGTTTCGCCTCCTCGGCGATCGCCTTCATCTGGTCGGGCCGTAACATCTCGCCCTCCTCCGTCGCCTCCTCCCGTTCCAACTCCAAACCGTCTCCAAGCGATTGGAAGGCAGAGTCGGAGGAAGTCTTGTGGTGGGTCGGGCTCTCGTCCGCTTGGAACGACGACGACGACGACAGGAAACGCGTCAGGCCGCCGCCATCTTCGCGGAGCGACGACGAAAAGTCTGGCACGAGGGGGTGCGAACTGTCGTCTAGTGAACGGGAGCTGGTCGAGAGGGCGCTGCTGCGGTGCGGGTGGTAGGACGAGCCTCCTTCGTGGACGTTCTCGCGCCTAGGACTGCCGCCGACGAGGTTCACCAGGTTCAAACTGCAACGTGGGAGGCCATTAGATACCATTTAGTTGCTTGCGATCGACCTGGTTGGTTTACTCGAAGAAAAATGGTCGCCGTCGCCTAAGCGTCGGCCGCGCTATTTGCGGACGACGACGGAGGCGTCGCGACGCAATCGCGGGCGGAAGTGATTAACTCAAATCACTAATTCGAATTAGCCTCTAGTTAGATTCGCACTTACCTAACCGGAAAAAAAATAGACACGTGGACGTCGTCGCCGTAGAACAACCACCGAGACGCGCGAAGAATATCGCGAGACCGTCCGCGTTCGTTTGACGACCGACCGAAAACGCGAGAGATTCGAAAAACCTCTAAAATTAGCAACGGCGGCCTCTTAAAGCGCGTATGGAACGGTTCCAAGAATCGAGGAAAACAACAAACTCAAAACGAGCCGAGTCGCCGATAAAGATAAAATATTAAAGATATCGATCTAGACGCGTCACGTTTATTATTTATACCGACCGGAGTCGGGAAGTGGAATCCTATTTGAGGAAAGTACGCCGAACCCTTTGACCCTCCGTCGAGAACGTTTACGACGTCGGCTTAACAAAAATAAACCTACTTCTGGCAGAAAGGATAGAGAAGATAAAGTCTCTTGAACAGAAGATTCGGAAGAAGATCCGAGGCGAAGACGAAGTGACGACAATTGATTCTATTCTTCACATAAAAAGTAGAACACGCTGTTTCTTCGCAAGAAACGGAAGTGGGAAGAAGAAGATTCTATCCTTAATAAAAAAAATCTAGGATTGGTATAGAATAATCCCATCTAAGAATATTTGTCGTATCGGAAGCCACGAGAAGATTCCACTCTTCACCAAAAAAGATCTTCGGTGGATATCTATATCTATTCTATTTTGTATCTATTCTAATACTGCTACTGTCTCGAAAGCCCGAACCCCATTCTTTACTGAAAAAGTTGTTTGGTGAATATAGAATATAGAAGGTGCTCTGACTCGAAAGCAGAAGATTCCATTTTCTTCAAATTCAAAGTGAATATAGAATACTCCGAGAAAAATTTCTACTGTCTTAGGATATATTAAGATTAAGAAGGTATCCTGCCTCGAAAGTAGTATTCTGCCAAAATGCTCTTGGCAGAATACTGCCATACATAACGACCAACGCTAACGAAGTGAGGACAATTAAGTCTATTCTTCACATAAAAAGTAGAACACGCTGTTTCTTCGGAATCAGAGGAAGTGGCAAGAAAAAGATTCTATCCTTCGCAAAAAAATATCTTGGATTGGTATAGAATAATGCCATCTAAGAATATTTGTTATCTCGGAAGAAACGAGAAGATTCCACTCCTCACCAAAAAAGATCTTATATCTATTCTAATACATATTCTATCTATATCTATTCTATTCTGTATCTATTCTAATACTGCTACTGTCTCGAAGTCCTATTCCTTACCAAAAAAGTTCTTTGGTGAATATAAAACAAGAAAAGATCTTCGATGGATATAGAACACTACCATCTAAGAAGGTCTCCAGCATCGTGGATTATAATGCCGGTGGATATACAGCTATCAAAGAAGAGAAGCGAAGATTCAAATTGCATGCTTTGCGTAAGAAAGTTGCGTAAATTGAAAAGACAATGGATAGAAAATTCGTTTTTCGACGAACAAGAAGGAATTCGTCCGTTGTGGAACGTCCGGCTGCCTCCCGCAAAAAGGGAAGATTAAAATCCCAATCTTCAGGCAAACTGAAGAAACCATTTGGTGGATATGGAAGAAGAAAAAGAGCAAGGTTTTCAGCAGTTATGGAACATCCGACGGATTAAGGAGATGGGATTTTGCTTCAGACGGTATAAACATTCGGAATACACAATCGTGACCAGACTGACTCACCTTCGCTCCAACTCGTCCGACGTGATGGGCTGGGTCTTGTACCGGTCGCCGGTCCTCTTGGAGGGAGTCGATCGCCTCGGTGCGCTAATGGTCTTCTCGAACGAGCGCACCAGCTCGAGGACGGACAGCGGCCTCGCCTGCGTCAACGTCCTGTCCTCGTCCTTCTCCCTACCCATGGCGTTCGATGCGACGTTATAATCGGAGCAGATGGTGTGCGAGCGTCTCGACGTTCTCGCGCGTCTCGCCTCGTCGACGCTCGACGACGCCTCCCCGCAAAACGACAGTCTCGGACGAGGCGACTCCGACCTCAGCGACGTCTTCAGTATCGGCCTCGTTTCCCCACCGTCGGACCTCTCTTGTTTCAGGATAGGCCTGGGCTTGTCCTCGGTGGTCGCGTCGTCCGTCTCGCTGCTCGACTTCTTCTTGAGGATCGGCCGCGGCGCCGTCGCGTCCGTCGGCGTCTCGACGCCGCCCGCGTACTCGTCCGACGAACTCTTCTTCTTCAGTATCGGCCGCATTGCCGAAGGCGCTTGCTGCAGTACCATCTCGGCGCCTTCCGCGGCCGCCAGAATCACCGCCGTCGTTATCGAGACGTGGGGCGTGCTCCCCGTACTACCTGGAGGAAGAAACGACCCCGACGATAGAAGATTACCACCCGTGGAGGAGACGGTGCTTACCGGCGCTACTCGCGCCCGATCTCCTCTTCAATATGCTAGCCGGAGAGTTCAACGAATGGTCCTCGTCCTCGTGCCTGGACGTTTTCCGCTTGAGGATGCCGTGGAGGTGAGTTTCGGGCGACCTCGTCCTCCTCAACTCCTCCAGCGAAGACCTGCGCTGGTTCTTCAGTATCGATTTCGAGTCCGCGGAGCTCTTCGCCTGGTTGACGATGTCGGGGCTGCAGCTGCGGTGACGCGTGACCGTCGACTCGTCCAGGCTGCGACGCTTCTTCAGGATCCCCTGTTTCCGATTCGTGGTCGCCGGTTCGACGACGCTGGGAGAGAACGTCACCGGAGGAGTGGACGTCGCCGGCTCGCCGGTTTTGTCTTCTTGGACGACCTTGCGTTTGAGTATGGATACGGGGACCGAGGACGTCGCCTCCGTGGCGACCACCACCTGTTTCTCCTGTTTCGCTTTCTTCTTCAGTATCGACGACGGACCGGGGGCGGTTTTGTTGCGGTTGGCGAGTCTCTCCACCCTCGCCAACGTCTCCCTGGTGAAGGCGGTCAGCTCCTCCATACGCCGGGCGATGTCCCGGTTGGTCTCGTTGTCCGACTTGGAGATGGTCGCGTCGCCGCGATTCTCCTTGTCGCCCCTCGGCACCGGGCGTTTCGAAAACGGACGGTACCTGTCGGAGGCGGCGTTGGCGACCACCCTCCTAGCGTTCTCCATGTGAGCGGACAATTCGCTACGTTTGGCGGACGATTTCTGCGGCGACGACGACGACGACGACGAGGCAGCGGACGTAGCGGCGCGCGCTTTTTCGGCGCAGTCGGTAGGATCGCGCCGGTCCAGGACTTCGGGCGGGAAGAAACGCCTGGCGCGGCGACGGAGAGACTTGGCATCGTCTGGAAATGACGCGGTGACTGTCGGAAACGGGAGATGGTAGCAAACTGTCGAAAATCCCGAACGGCGTTCGGACTCGTCTGTAGGCGCAGCAGAGTCGTCAACAGCTGAGAGGTGAAGTACAGAGAAAGTTACACGTCATCGAATCACAGAATGTTTAGTTTAGAACGGGCGAGTTTTATAAGGATATCAAATTTAAAACTTATTGTAAATGATTTATCTTACTAAGTTAACATTTTATTACGTTTTTAAACAGGAATTAATTTTGGTAGTAAATTCATAGGGACAGAACAGAACAGAACAGAAATTTTAAGTTTCAACATTCCGTCACTCGATCACGTATACGTCACGTCCCAGCTGTTGGCGGATTGGCTGTTACAAACACCCCCCCCCCCCGCCCGAACCCGACCATTTGTGGTGTTCCCGGAAACAACCGCTTCCGACCGATAACGATATTATCGGTCAGTGGCGGCACGTTTAGCGAAAAATATTCGATCATTCTATTCGTTTCGAACATAAAAGTGTCTCCCGCTCCAAAACATGGAACATATATACAAGCCAAGGGGTCGAAGTGCTTACCTTGTGGGACTTCCTCGGACGTGAGCGACCGATTGAGATTAGATTTGCGCTTGTGGCTCTTGTCCTTGTCCGCCTTGTTGCGGGGACTGGCGGGGGACGTCCTGCTCTCCGACGGGGGACCTTTCTGCATCGAAACAAAGGAAAATGTAGCGAAAAAATAAACGAAACGAGGCGTCGCGACGACAGCCGTCCGAATTGGAAACTACGACTGAAAAACAACTGACGACGATGCAGTCAGACCGACTTTCTTATCATCATCCTTAATGTTTATGACTCATTTTGAATATCAATCGGAGTTGTGGAGATTAAGCACCGGCCGGCGGCGGTCGTACCTTTTCCAGTGGCGCGCGAGCCAAAATAAAACCGAACTACATTGACTGCGGTTTGCGACGACATGTACGCCACTGGCGGGCCGAATACATAATTAAACGCGCGTTACAATCTATTTTGTCAGGTTAATATGGACGCGAAAGATTTTCCGTCTACGCTAGACGCGCTTCCAAGTGCTTATATATAACATGACCAAAAATATAGTGCATTTATTGCGTCATGCCTGAGATGGGTCGTAACGAATATTTGCAAAAACTTGAAATTTTTATTGAAAACGTAAATGGAATGGAAAATTATTTATATAAATTTTATATAAAACAACTCCTGGAATTATTCAAAATAAATCATTTTAATAAAGACTACAAAACCGATTCCGATAGCACAACAAAACGTACTTGAAATGTTTAGATTACCCCGTACCATTGTATATTTAACCCGAGTGAGATGATTTGGTCTGAGTTAGGAAGGAAATAACACTGCACCAAAATTTGGTGATGGTACCATAACGTAGGTGACGACAGTTTTTATATTAAATTTCAGTTTCGACAAACGGTGCTGTAGATTTCTTTTTCTTTGTCTTGTTTTACTTCTAAAAAGAGAATTATAAAAAAGTTCAACATTCAAAATGAAATTTTTTGGTGTTCGCTTTGATGAAATTTTGAATATTAAATTTTGTACCGTTTTAGATTCTTTATAAAAAAAAGTCAAAACAAATGAAAATCTTGTGTTGAAATGGCTCGAGATTGGAGAAAGTGTCTGCACTTTTCAATCAGAAACAAACTATCATTCTATCATTACGTTACATGGCACAAAATATTTGTCAAGACTCGAAAACTCAATTAAAAAAAAAACAGAACGTCTGGTTCCGCCGGTAAACCAATGAAAGAGATCGTCTTTTTCCCGCCTTCCCGCCCACTTCAAAGGAAATGCTCGCCGTTTCATTGGCCAAGAGGCGTTGCTTAATAAGACAACGGTTGGCGGGGCTTAAAACACGCCCACTCCACTCACATTGACCGCAAAACGTGGCTTTCTATTGGCCGTGGGCGGAACAAGACGCCGCCCCTCAAAAAACCGTCAACTTTGACCGCGAAAATTGCAAAATTTGGAGAAAATGAGAGCGGTTTGCATGAATCACGCCGTCCGGCAGCCCGTAAAAGGCGACACGCATAGCGCGCGGCCCAAGTACGCGACCTTGCGGAACACCGTGTATGGACACGGCGAGTCCGCCGCATCCGACTTTCGATTTTCAACGCGGGATTTACGGGCACGTGCGAGGGCGACACGTGCTGCGTCGACGTCACATGGGTTGACCGTTAAATGGCGCACATTGACAAGGTGCGGCCCACCGACCGGTCAGCTTTCGATTTTAACGCGAAATAAAGAAAAAACGACCGCCACCGGTACCGCCTCCGGCGAGCCTGTTCATAACCGACGGTAACGGGAACCGTAAAAGTTGACAGTTAATTTTGGTCGAAACGGTAATAAAACACGGCCTCGACTTTCATTTTGGACTTTTACTGTTCCGATTTCCTTGCCTTTTTTAAATAAAACCGCGAGACCTTAAAATTGGTCCTTTTTATCCGTACCAATGTAAATAATTATGGAGAAAACTATCTATTTTCGTAAATATGGAAAAAAAAAATTTAAATCATACAGGTCGTTCCAGTTTTTTTTTTTTTCAATGAGATTGCATAGGTAACTTTCAAACCATTAAAGTTTAGACCAGTTCCGCATATTTAGACCCATTTCCACCATATTCCTATAATCCCGTATATATTGTCACCTTTAACCACTTTGAAAACTAGGAGTTAGGCCCATGAAGCACTGAAGCTACCAAAATTATATTATCAGAGGTGGTAACAAAAATGTTGGTTAAATATCTGGCACATTTATCCATAATTTTGAAAACAGAGAAGAGTTTGTTTCTTATTTTACCTATAATATTATTATAAAAGCGTTCAACAATCAAAATGAAATTCTTTAGTAATCACCTGTTTTGTCCACATGGTGTCCCAATTTTGAAGTATTACTGTAATTATTGTAGGTATTACTTTTTTGTTTCTTTAAAAAATAAATAATATTAAGCAAAAACAACTGAAAATCTGTTGGACAGCATCGGGCAAGGTCCTAAGCTAGGCTACGCCTTTTGAAATGTCTATCTATATCACAGTATTCAAATTGGCGTTTCCTGGTGTAAACCCAAGCCATTGAAAATTGACAAATGATTTTCTGTACTCGCTCGTTCCCAAGGTTTCTTTCAAAGCTGAAAGATCACCATCAAAATTTTGGGTAGGTTAGATTTAGACTGTTATTTCACTAAATCACTAGGGTTTTGGAAAACTACTAGACTGGTAGACACAGTTCAAGGCACATGGTGATTCTGTAGCTCTCCTTTACGCAACAAACCACCAGTTGAATTTGATGTTTATCTTAATACAGTGGCGTTACAATATTGTTCATAAATTAATAATTACTATAAGCTAACCAAGCGTATTTTTCTATTATTTAGTATTATTTATATATCATTATCCTTTATAGCAGCTCGTGGGTACCTATTTTTTATTTCACTCACCTCCGTTTTCTGCTGCCCCGCCCCCTGGTAGTGGCCCAGGGCCACCTGCGCTCTTAACTTCGACGCGCGGGTGGGCCTCGGACCCTCCGAGCCGCTGGTGGCGCCGCCACTGCGCCGCGTCGGTGTGTCCTGCTGCGGGGCGGGTCCGGGCTTCTGCCCGCCGCCCACGCTACTATCCTGCGCGAAACAAACGAAAAACCTGCGATAAGCCCGACGCTCGACGCCCCTGTTAACGTTCTCACCCTACGGTTCGACGACATGACCGCTTCATCGGGACAGGATAAGGGGCGTGACCATCGAGGCAGTGGCGTACGATCGGCGCCTGCAACGAAAACGCAAGGCAGTAAGAAAGAGTGGGCGGGACCAGCCGCTACGTTCATTGGTCCGGCGGTAAGGCGGAGACTGTCGAGGAGGCGGGGCGTGCGCATTAAAATTTATATAAACTTGAGTGAATAGTTTTGACTCCAATTTCTTTTTTTTTAGAAAATACTGATAAAAAAAATGCTGTTTGAAAGACAATTTAATATGCTTTAATGATTAAATTGATTAAAATTTGTTTCTGCTTTTTAGGTCAAATTAACTATTTTTATTACTAAAAACAAACAGGGTTAATGATAATTAGCAACTCAACAAGTATTTTTTAATAATGGTTTTGATCCCCTCTTGCCCTAATAACATCTTTTACTGGATTAGGCATAGATCTAATCAAGTTCGCTATTGTTTCATGTGGAATGTTAAGCCACTCTTCCTCTACTGCAACAATAAGCTCTGGGATTGAGGTTGGGCTACGAAGTGTAACTCGAATTCTCCGTTTTCGATCGGATTGACGTCGGGACTGCATGCTGGCCACTCCATAATCCGAAAACAGACTTCTGTAATGTAATCTTGCATTGTCGTGCATAATGTAGTCGACATTTGGTACCACGTGATCTGTACCTAGTACCTGTCAAACCTCCTGGCTCTTGACCACTGCCGCCTTTACGGATAAAAACGTGCGTCCCCAGAAATTGCACCCCATATCAGGCAGGAACCGCCACCATAAGGGCTTCGCTCTTCATCGGAGAATTTTGCAAATTACTCTCTTGGTCTTTGGTCCACATTTTTTCGTCGTCACTACCGAAAAGGCATAGTTTGGTCTCATCTGAGAACAGAACGGAACCCCATTGGGTGAATCTCCAATTCAAATGATCTCGTGCAAAGCGTAGGCGCGCTTGTCGATGAACTGGAGTAGGCTTTGGAGCAATTGCAGTTGTTTTTGGGGTCAGGTCATATTCCTTCAGTCTTCTTCTCGCTGTATGATTAAAAAGGAATAATGCGAAAATTCCAGTTGCAAACGCGATCAATTTAAGTCTATAATAAGTTTGTTACTATCACTAGACCTACTGCATGAACATACTTCGTTTTTACGTATACAAAAGATTAGCACTCTAGACAAATTTAAACTCATACTAAAGCATATTAAATTACCTTTAGGATAGCATGTTTATTTTTTGGGTCAGATGAATACCTTCGAAAAAGTAAAATGAACATTGAAATTTTAAATGGAAAACCCGTTATTACATTTTCTTCATGTTTCCGACCGCAATTAAATTTGTATTACTACGACACTGGAACCAGAAGGTTAAAATTTTGGGCATACGAGGGTGGGGTGAAAAGTTTCCGCCCTCGCCAAGAAAAAAATTATGAACCGAGTCGAAAATTCGTTTGGATTGCGCCTAGCTTTTTCCTACTTTCTTCGGTAGAATTATCAATTACACACTAAAGAAGAAGAATTATGCCAAAGAAACCCAATTTTCAGAGGATCTTGCGTTTCATTCAGAAACCAAACGACTTACAAATCATTACTTTTGACTAACTCTGTATGATATAGAACTAATTTCGACATTAAGAAATAATGTACGGTACCTCCCTAAGCTGCGTCTAAAATTTTAACTTTTTACTGACTCCAATGTAGCAGAAATAAAAATTTAATTGAAGCTATGAAAAATGAAAAATAATATATTTTTTGGAGAACCGCTGAAGATAGGTATAGAAAGGTACTATTCAAAAATTAAAAAGTATTATCGAAGAGTTAAAAGATGATCTAAAATATCTTAGAGCATCGCCATTTCAGGAATTAGTCAAATTTGCAAAACATGTAAGGCACGCGAAACACCCCGTACGTATTTATTTGTTTACTTATTGATGTATTAATTTATATTTTTTATAATATACCTATTGGAAGATGAGATATGTAAAGGTGTTTTAGAAGTCAAGTAGAGGCCATCGAATGTAGAGTTGCTGTTTTATGGATACGTGCAAGGTCATTATGGCAGAGTCGATTGCGTCACAAAGTGCAGCCTAATGAAAATCTTCATCGAGTGCTTCGATAATTATAAAAAAATGAGATCGTAGCGCCTAGCACGACGCAGCTTTTTATTATAAAAGAAAAGTACCACTATGGAACTTTCGCAAAATCGATGTAATTTATTTGCGCATGCACCATGTATAAAATGTCCTTCACATCTAGTCGAACTTCAAAGATTTTTCAAATATCTCGCGCCCTGTATAATTGACGAATCCTGAAACTCTCTCTCGATACAGTTTACGATACTGTTCAAATAGAATTATCCCATCCTTTACGGTTTTTCATTTATCGCCAATAATTAAGCCACAAAAACGGAAATTTTTAGGATCTTTGAGTTTTTGCCCATAAACGACACACCCTGTATATGATTCAAACAATGTTCGAAGTACAGCCTTGGATCTTCCACGCTTCCTAGTACATGGTTTTCGAGAAAATAAGTTTTTCCTGAAACCATGCAAAAATAACAATTTCGATATGGATTTTTTTCAAATATCCCGAGCAACTTAGCCAAAATTAGCCATATTTTTTACGATTTTTGATTTGCGGCTAATAAATTACTCGGTAAAAGAACAATATTTTAATTCTTTTAGATTTTTGCCTATAATTTGAAAACCCTGTATATAATCGAAAAACTGACTGAAAGTTGCCGATCGGGTGAACGATTATGGAGGAAAACATATTTTTCTAGAAGCATCGCAAAAAAAAATTCAAAAATTTTAAAAAAATACTTTTTGTGGGCACGGGCTTTTACTTCGCTGCTAAATGTGAAGTTGATATCTGCAAATTTAGGACACTTAACACATTTCTCATTTAGAGCGGAATATCGGGGACCCCTGTACAATAGGTAAAAAAAATATATAAAAGAAACTGACAACAAAAAAGATTACCAACAAAATAACTCCTGAAGAACAACAAAGTTTCAGAAGTGTAGGATCTTGTAATGAGGTTGTATTTGTAATTAGATAAATTTTGGAAAAAACAATTGAGTACAATAGGCCAGTGTTCTTATGCTTCATAGATTTTGGAAAAGCATTTCATAGAGTGCAACTACAGGACGTGATACATATACTTTATAACAGAAATATCCCATTTGATGTAATAAAACTAATCGAAAAAATATAGAAAAGAAATAAAATACAAAAAAGAGTAAATTCACAGCCCACAGAGACTCACTAAGCGTCATTATTTAACAATTATAGACGAAATAGATGTAAGCTGGAACTTGATAACCAAATTATAGAGCAGTTAACGAACATCAAATTTTTGGGAATTAGGTTACCATATGATAATAACATAGAGGATGAAATAAGAAAACAAAAAAGCCAAGAGAATAGCAGGATGCGACAGTCATGACATATACCGCTGAAACAAGAGGGGAAACATCTAAGAAATGCCTGGAAACAAATGAAATGAAAACATTAAAGAAAATAGGAGGATAGAGAAACAAATGAAAACATAAGACACATATGTGGAATTGAAAACATTAACATCTGGACCAGAAATAGAAAGCAAGAATGGAATGAACATTTAGATAGAATATCCGAGTAACGGATAGGGAGGATAGCGAAAGATAAAACACGAAGAAGATGGAACGACAAGTTGTGATAAAAATTAAAGTAAACAGGCAGAGGTGCCTAATATAGAAGAAGAAGAATATTCAACGAATATTCCCAAAGTCCAGGTGACTACCGTGAATATGTCAAATATGACAGGTTCTTGTAAAATTTCATCATTTGCCACTTTGACCCTACTGCAGTACAAGACAATAGTCAGGAGTGGGAATTTTCATGAACGACTTCGAACTGATATTTTATAAGCAGGCGTTGGCTGTCAGTTTCCAAGCGTTTTATCAATGACAGCCGTTAAAACAAACGTGCGGTGCATTTTTTTTTTTTTTGGCTTTTCGGTAAATATTTAGATCGGATTGTGTACGCGAATTCTCTGGCAGACGTTGCCGACGAATAACGTTTTGCACCCGCAAGATTTATTTTGGGCGATCGGACGTTAGCGAATAGAAAAAAATGTTGCGGAAAATGCAAAAAGTATTTTTTACGCGTTTATGCGCGAAGTAATAGTCGAATTATGAACAATGTTACAGTATGAGTAAAGAGGATTTTATGAGATGAAGACGTTAATATATTGTTCTTGCTCACACGAAGAAACAGAACGCAACAGCTTAATTTGTTTTTTATTTTGGTCCTATTTCAAAATATCGATTTTTTTTTAGATTTTTCAAATTTTCAGAAAAAAAAAACGGGACAAGTTTGTTTTTTCTAACCTCACTTTTTTCGGTAGCTCTAATTTAAAGAGATAGGAATCAAACCACTTCGATGGATTTTAACGCTAGATTTTATTTATCACGTCAGAAAATTACAGCAAATTTCATTAAATTAGGGTAACAAATTACAATTATTTTAAAAAATCACCACTAATATTACGATATCGAAGGTTATAACACTCAAGGAACGCCTAGTCCGAGTCCAGGTTGGATGATTACTCTACAATAGACTGCACAGGGGAATGGGGAATTGAAAAATAATTCTTGTTTTAGGAAAAAGCAGCGGCACACGTTGACACATTAGGCAGCTTCCAAAACATAAAATATTTCTGAAAAGACATCTCAAATTTTCTTTGCAAAACGTGGAAAGTCGTATTGAACTGAGAGGCATAAATAATTTGATACACACTTGCGGAAACAGGTTTTTGGATTTGTTCGGTCGATCCGCTGCTATTTTATCGAAAAACAGCGATTTTTGAATTATTCTAGCACACAGTCTTAATAGGTCAGCCAAATTGGTATCTAAAACCGTTTTTATGTTATGTTTTTATACCTGTTATTAAAATTTTCGAAAAAAATCGAAAAAGGTTAAGTTATTTATTGTATGTAGAACAAAATGGTCGTTTAAACATTCCTTTTCGATGTTGCGAACATCGCATTATAATTATTTTTCTTAGAATTAAGTGATGAACATCTG